CTATTGGGGGGAAAAGGGGAGGGCCAGTGGGAGGGGGAGGTGGGGAGGGATAGCCTGGGGAGAAATGCCAAATGTGGGTGAAGGGGAGAAGGAAAGAAAAGCACACTGCCATGTGTGTTCCTACGCAACTGTCTTGCATGCTCTGCTCATGTACCCCAAAACCTGAAATCCAATAAAAAATTTAAAAAAAAAAAGAAGTAGGAGGTACTGTAAGTAGAAAATAAAGTAGAATGTTAATACCTAGTCAACATAGAGAATGTTTATCAAAATAGCACAATTGGAAGGCAAACAGAGAAACCTCATTGGTGTTGGGCATTTATTTTACATATTTCCTCCAGAGAAATTTTTTTTCCTATTTTAGCTTGCAAAATAAAAGAGAGTTGAATTATTATCACATCTTAACTGACCATCTTTATTTAACTTAAGTACAGCTAATAAACTTGAGAAAGATATTTATGCCCTTGAGGTGGGCTTGAAATATTTCATGACCCACATTACCATTTCAGTCAGAAATTCTCCCTATTTAACTACATTAGTATAGACAATTAGTAGGTCAGTCACAATGCACATCCTTAATTATATCAGTTAATCCATAAATAAATTTCCATAAAAACTCACACTCCTAGATAATTCTGGTAAGAAAGACAATTCCTGGCATTAGAGAATTACTGTCATGTTGTATGGGTGCCAGAGAAGTCTGAACACAGACAAGTTTGTTTCAGAAGTTTTAAATCAACAATAATATTTATTCATTATTGAAATATGCAGGCTACGCTATTGAATTAGAAGCACAGTCTATAAAATAAAAGACAACTAATAATTAACTGGACATCATTTCATGAATTCACAGCCTAATTTGAGAAATGTAGTGTGTGCATTAGAAGAATTAAACGTAAGACCTAAAAGTGGGCAAAGGATATAAACAGACATTTCTCAAAAGAAGACTTTTATGTAGCCAACAAACATATGAAAAAATGTTCATCATCAGTGATCATTAAAGAAATGCAAATCAAAACCACAATGAGATACCATCTCACACCAGTTAGAATGGCAATCATTTAAAAAATCAGGAAAACAACAGATGCTGGAGAGGATGTGGAGAAATAGGAACACTTTTACACTGTTGGTAGGAGTGTAAATTAGCTCAACCATTGTGGAAGCCAGTGTGGTGATTCCTCAAGGATCTAGAACTAGAAATACTATTTGACCCAGCAATCCCATTACTGGGTATATACCCAAAGAATTATAAATCATTCTACTGTAAAAACACATGCACACGAATGTTTATTGTGGCACTGTTCACAAAGACTTGGAATCAACTCAAATGCCCATCAATGATAGACTCATCATGATTATGGTTTGAAATATGAGGACATGAGATTTGAGAGGAGCCAGGGGTGAAATTACATGGTTTGGCTGTGTCTCTGCCCAGATCTCATCTTGAATTGTAGTTCCCATAATCCCTGTGTATCATAGGAGGTTCCCAGTGGGAGGTAATTTAATCATGGGAATGGTTACCCTCATGCTGTTCTCATGATGGTGAGTGAGTTCTCATCGGATCTGATGGTTTTATAAGGGGCTTTTCCCCCTTTTGCTCTCCACTTCTCCTTGCTGCCACCATGTGAAGAAGGATATGTTTGCTTCCCCTTCTGCCATGATTGTAAGTTTCGCTGAGGCCTCCCCAGCCATGCTGAACTGTGAGTCAATTAAACCTCTTTCCTTTATAAATTACCCAGTCTTGGGTATGTCTTTATTATCAGTGTGAGCATGGACTAATACAAGCATTATGTTAGCTACAGATTTTTGTAGATGTTCTTTATCAAGTTATAGAAGTTCCAGCCTATTCATAGTTTACTGAGAGTTTTATCATGAATGGGTGTTGGAGTTTTTCAAATGTCTATTCTGCATCTGCTGACATGATCATGTAATTTTTCCTTTGTAGCCTACTTATGTGGTAGATTGCATGAATTTGCATTTGTCACACTAGGTTTGCATACCTGAGATAAATCCCACTTGCTCATGGTGTATAATTCTTTATACATATTGTTGAATTTCATTTGCTAATTTTTTTACATCCATGTTCAGGAGAGATGTTTGCCTGAGTTTTCTTTTCTCATGATGTCTTCACCTGGTTTCAGTGTTAGGGTAATGCTTTTCCTATGAGTTAGATGTATTTCCTGTGCTTCTACTCTCTGAAAGAGAGTACAGAAAATTGGTATGAGCTCTCTCTTAAATTTTTGGTAGAAGTCACCAGTCAATCTATCTGGGCCCGGTGTTTTCTGCTTCACAAGGTTATCAATAATTCTGGCTCAATTTCTTTAATAGATATAGGCCAATTCAGACTGTCCATTTTTCCTTGTGTATGTTTTGACAGATGGCAAGACCTCATCTCTTAAAAAGAAAGGAGAAATACAAATGGCTAATAAATAAAAGAGATATATAATTGGGGACCAAAATATGTAACCTTAAAAATGAGATATAAATGTTTTTCTTCTATGAATATAAAGATAAATTTTTCAAACACTATAAGATGGCATTCTCATTAACATGTGTTTTAAGAATATAATTTGCAGCCTGGTACAGTGGCACATGCCTGTAATCCCAACATTTTGGGAGGCCGAGGCTGGCAGATCACCTGAGGTCAAGAGTTTGAGACCAGCCTGCCCAACATGGCAAAACCCCATCTCTATTTAAAAATACAAAAATTAGGTGTATCTGGTGGCATGCACCTGTAATTCCAGCTACACAGGGGGCTGAGGCAGGAGAATTGCTTGAACCCTGGGGCAGAGGTTGCAGTGAGCTAAGATTGTGCAACTGCACTCCAACCTGGGTGACAGAGCAAGACTCTCAAATACATATATATAATATATAAAATATATATATAGCTATATATCTATAGATAGATCTAGAGATATAGATATAGATATAGATATAGATATAGATATAGATATAGATATAGATATAGATTTTTTTTTTTTTTGGAAAAGAAATTTGTTAACTTGAGGCCAGGCATGGTAGCTCACTCCTGTAATCCCAGTACTTTGGGAGGCCAGGGTGGGTGGATCACCTGAGGTCAGGAGTTCAAGCCGTTTGGACAACATGGGGAATACTTAAAATACAAAAATTAGCCAAGTATGGTGGCTTGTGCTTGTAGTCCCAGCTGTTTGGGAGGCTGAGGCACAAGTATTGCTTGAACACAGGAGGTGGAGGAGCTTGCAGTGAGCCAAGATCACACCACTGTACTCCAGCCTGGGTCCATAGAGCGAGACACAGGAAAGAGGAAAGGGAGGAAGGGAGGGAGGGAGGGAGGAAATTAGCAATATGTATTGAGGACATTAAATTGTACAAACCTTTGAACTTAGTAATCTACTCGAGGGAAACATTCTAAAATTAATTAAACCCCAAAATTTGTGTTACATTAGTCTAAGATTAAAACTTTGAAAATAGCCTAAATACATGAGGGAAATGTTATAAAAGTAACATTCACCATTTTGCAGCTTAAAAAAATTTGGGTTTTGTTTTTGTTTTGTTTTGTTTGAGACAGAGTATGGCACTGCCTCCTGGGCTGGAGTGCAGTGGCACGATCTCAGCTCACTGTAACCTCTGCCTCCTGGGTTCAAGTGATTCTCGGGCCTCAGCCTCCTGAGTAGCTGGGATTACAAGTGCTCACCACCACACCCAAATTTTTTTTAATAGAGATGAGATTTCACCATGTTGGCCAGGCTGGTCTCTAACTCCTGACCTCCTGATTCACCCACCTCGGCCTCTCAAAGTGCTGGGACTACAGGTGTGAGCCATTGCACCTGGCCAAAATATTTGAGTTGTAATTACATGAAAAAAATGCTTATGTAAACAGGACACTAAAATATAAATGTTTTATGATTTTGTATATGTAAAGAAAAATGGTTAGGACAAAAAAATAAGAAATATGCCAAGATTTTACATTATGTTGCTTGGCAAAATTACTGGTAGTTTTTGTTTTACTTCACTTTTCTGAATCTTCTAAATGTTTACATATTTAAACATATGTTGTTTTGATAATCAGAATTTAAAAACCCAATTTTGAAAAACTGCAATAGTGGTACCTGGCAAGAATTAAATAAAATGACTTCCACATGAGAATTTGTCACAGTGCCTGGCATGAGATGAGTTATCAATAAGTATTGTTTTCTTTCACTGCCATGTCAAGATTCAGGGCAAATAGTTTAATATTTAAGAACTCTGGTTCTTTTCTCAGAAAGAATTGAACTCAGAGATCGAATCTTTCATTTATTTAGAGGTAAGACCTTGAGCGAATTATTTATCTAAGCTTCAATGATCTCACCTATAAAATAAATATTAATATCTAACTCATTGTATTATAATGGGAATTAGATTCGTTTATTCATAAAAGTTACTCATCTCAATGCCTGAAACATAACAAACCTCAATAAATATTAACTGATAATATTTGTATGGCAAAGTGAAAGGTCAACTACAGGTGTGGATAGACTTCTGGGTCCACGTAATGAATTCAAAAATGAGTCAGCAAAATAGATTTCCCTATAAACTGAGAAAGAGCCTCAGAATTACATGCCAAATGCGTAAAGTGTCATACAGAAAAACAGTATCAGATGTTTGAAATAAACTCATCAAAGGATGGGTCTTTGGAGTAATGTTCAACTAGCTGAAGAATCTCAGGAAAAAGATTCCCCTTTAGGGAAGCTGACTTCGGCATCACAATAGTTTCACCAGGGACAGGTGGAGAATCCCAGCTTTCATTCTTATTACTGCTGGGGGTACAAGGGGGTGGAGTGGGGAGGAAATTTTGTTTTCTCCACGTTTGATCTGAGCCAAAAGGCTGAGAAGGAATAAGTCATGTTTTCTCCAACTTAAAAAAAAAAAATCCCCAAATGCACTCAAAGTGTAAGCACAAGGGACAGAACTCTGAGCTCCAGGGGAAGTAAAGAGCAGGGGAAAAGGCTTATACACATTGTACCCCATTCCAAATCAGTGCCTGAATTCACTCCTTTAACAAAGGCAGATATTCATATTTCATGAATATGGACACAGAAAAATAAATGTTGACTATGGAAATGTAAGTTTAAGAAAGTACCTTTCTACCTTACCATTTCTAGCTTAAAAAAAATACACACATATTACTTTCAGATGGTGTCAACTAGAAAGGCAAACAAAAAAGTAAAAGATAATTATATTGCCTTCGTTAATCATTTCTACTATTGTCATGGCTTTTTATCTTTATTCAAAACCACAGCATTCTCCTTTAAATAAAATTTACTAAAGTAAAACCCAAAATGCAAAGTAATGCCATTTTTAAATTGTTTCTTTTAAGAAAAAAAAAAAACTAAGACTGAAAATATGACTTCTTCCAATGAGAGAAAAATAACAGTATAGGTCTTTCCAGAAGCTGACAGTTATTCGTTTTGTTTAAAACTTAATTTCTAATCCCTGCCTAGGTTTATGAAATGGTATCATTCATCTAAAAGCAAAATACAGCTTTCAGGATGCCCCACTGGGAATTTTCTCTCTCTTCAACCCTGGCTGACAAAGAGGCTGACTTCAATGGCTTTAAATCCAAGTAACAAATGAAGGAAAGATGACATCCAACAACCTACATGGTAAGTCAAATGGCATAAAGGGCACTTCCTAGCACCAGGAACATTCTAGAAATTGCAAAGGTCACAAAAACTGCCTAGGGAAGGTACCTTCAGAAGAGGGAGTACCTTCAAAAACAGTATTTTATAGTAATGGTTTTTCTCAGCTTAAAAAAGTAATATATGTGCTCATAGGAATTTTGTGAAACATAGACATGTACATGTAAAGAAGAAAATTACAGAACCTCTTATCTGACCTTGTAATATTTGCCCCTATTAATTTTAATTTTTATTTCTTTACAGGAATTTCTGTTCCTTTGTGTTATTTACTTTTTCTACAAAAATGCATATAAAGACTATATAAACTCACTAAGCAAAGAACTCTGTAAAGATTATATAAGAAATGATATAAACCAAGTTCCTCAGGAAATTTTTCTGCACTTCTATGATTAACTTTTTTATTGTTAATTTTTTCTACATCTCTAATTTTGTTTTTTTGTTTGTTTGTTTGTTTGTTTGTTTGTTTGTTTGTTTGTTTTTGAGACAGAGTTTCGCTCTTGTTACCCAGGCGGGAGTGCAATGGCACGATCTCGGTTCACCGCAACCTCCACCTCCTGGGTTCAGGCAATTCTCCTGCCTCAGCCTCCCGAGTAGCTGGGATTACAGGCACGCGCCACCATGCCCATCTAATTTTTTGTAACTTTAGTAGAGACGGGGTTTCACCATGTTGACCAGGATGGTCTCGATCTCTTAACCTCGTGATCCACCTGCCTCGGCCTCCCAAAGTGCTGGGATTACAGGCTTGAGCCACCGCGCCCGGCCCTACATCTCTAATTTTTATTTAATGGGTACAAATGTTTAAAAGCTCTGAGTATTTTGGCCGGGCATAGTGGCTCACGCCTGTAATCCCAGCACTTTGGGAGGCCGAGGGAGGCAAATCACAAGGTCAAGACATTGAGACCATCCTGGCCAACATGGTGAAACCCCGTCTCTTCTAAAAATACAAAAATTAGCTTGGTGTGGTGGCACATGCCTGTAATCCCAGCTACTCAGGAGGCTGAGCAGAACAATCACTTGAACCAGGGAGTTGGAGGTTGCAGTGAGCCAAGTATGCACTGCTACATACTTGCATACTTGCATCAAAAAAAAAAAAAACTCTGAGTATTTTTAAGTGTCCCACAAGAAAATTTTTTTACAAGTTTATATTCCCTCCAGCAGTTTTTCTGAGCATTGTTTTATTGCACCTCCACCAACACTGGTGTCACAATTATTCATTTTTGCTAATTTAAAAAGCAAAAGAGAAATTATGTCTCATATTTAAATTAACAGCCTTTATCTAGAAATGTGAAACTTATTGACTTATCTCTCACAATATACACTTTTTTAATGCTGCTTAATTTTATTGAAAAGAATAATATTTCCAATTTTAAAGGCATTTTAGCATGCAGATGAATAAATATATGTTCCAAAATATCTATTGCATTGAAAAGCACACAAAAATACAGTACTCGGCAAACTTTTGTTGAATTTTTCAAGTGGTTTAGGCCAGTAATCAGCTATAAAATAGAATAAAACTTAGAAGACAAGCCTGAAAAGATTGTATCTATCACATGTCTGTTCAATAAATGGTAACAAAGGGACATTTTACATAAAATGGACTAACATTCATGATGGAACAGTAGTAAAGTCAATTTAAAGCAATTTTACTGAAAATATTTTAATAAATATTGCTCTTTAATTATACAAGTGCTGAAATTATATAAGATGAGTAATATTAGCCGATTCTTAAATTATCCAATAGCAGAAATCTCAAGACATCATGTCATCTTAGAAGTAACCCTAAGGTGAAAAAAATTTGGATAGAGACAGAGATAGAAACAGGGACAGAGACAGAATGAATGGTGAAATACAGTGGTTATAAAGAAAGAATAGGTTTCTCTAAAAATTTTGATGATCTTGTCCCTGGACTAAGACCTAAACAAAAAGTCTTTCAAACTTCAGCTGATAGCATTGTGGTGAGAGGATCTTCCCGCTTGCAAGGTTTATGAGATGTACAAAGGTGAACAAAAAAGACTGGGGCATGTCCTATCCTCAGAAGAGAGAGGCACTGGACCCAACATAAGCTAGAATATGAACAGTTCCAAAGGATAATCTCCATACCAGAGAAAGAAGAACAAAACTGTAAAAGACAATTGCCATGAAAATCCAGCAAATCTCAATAGTTTTAATAGTGTAATTTCCCCCAAACATAGGCAAATTAAATCAAGGGGTGATTTACAGATGTGATTTCAAAACCATTATTGATTTTCTTAAAGAACCCTGGAGAATGGAAGAAAAATTTTTAAAACTGAAATTGAACAAAAGTTTTTTTAACACCATAAAGTACAAAAGTTGCTTGTAAAACTTTTTTTATAAACCATCTATATGATAATGTATGCCAGAACGTTTTCCAGAGATACAGTGTCATTTTCTTTTTTTTTTTTTCTTACAGTCCAGAGGTCTGTTTTGTTTTAACACCTATTATGCCATAAATTCATAGGGAATAGTTCCAGCAGCTCAGGCTCCTTCCCACTGGTTCTCACACAGTGTGCTTCTCTGGGTGGAGCAGGGTGGTGCTTCACTTGAACCCAGGTATCTTTCTCTTTGGCTTCTTTCTTTTTCTGATCATTTTTACATTTCACGAAGCTATCTCAGTTCTTAGAGTGCTTAATGTACTCAATAAGCACACTAATTCTCTTGGCAAGAATCTTGCCCTTAATTTGTTGTTTATAACAATGCCAACAGCATGCTGGGTAACCCTTCCTTTGATGTCTACAATATCACCTTTCTTATAGATTTGCATACACGCGGCCAAAGGAACAACTCCATGTTTTCTAAAAGGCCTAGAGAATATATATCCGGTGGCTCCCCTCTTTCCCTTTGTGTTGGTCTTTTTGGCAAATTACTGGAAGATGGCAGTTCAGCCAAAAAGCTACAGTATCATTTTCAACACCTTTGTAGCATTTACCTATTTTTAGCTCAACTATCTATATACAATTGTTGCTAATAACAAATGTTAACCTGGAGCTGAAAAGGCATGTTTTTCATGTCCTATATATTTTAATCAGGCTTACATGAAACATACAAGAAATGTTTATCAAATTTATAGGCAATAAAAACAGAAAAGAAAGCTAATGCTTTGAAAGTGAATGCAAAGCCAAAAAGATCTTAATAGACTGCAACAGTTGGGGCAATTCGATCATTAACCTCCCTCACGTCAAAAACTCAACAACACGAGTATCAGATAGGGCCAATCTGATTTTTAATCAATCAATTTGTCTTGTGGGCAAACTCTAAGGTCTTTAGTAAAATGCAAAAGCTCAATAAAAGTCAAAAGCATAAAGTAACTGACCACAAAAACTGATGCTCACTTAGGTCTGCATGAGTTTCTAAAGCAAAAAAAGGCTATAGTACCTCTGTGCTCTGTGTCAATCACACAGTACAAGGGGTATTGTGTTCAGTTTTAGTAACATCACATTTTCAGAAAAACATGATCAAGCAAAGGAAGAGTACCAGGATGATGAGCATCTGGAAATTACACCATATTCAACTGAAGAAACCAAGAGTGCTTGGTCTAAATAGAAAAGATTCAAAGAGGACATGGGTACCCTCCTCCAATATTTTTAATGCTGCTGTATAGACTTATTCTGAGCACAATAAAGCAAAAAGAAAAAATCTTGCCCAGTACTGCCACTTACTGTGTGCATCTGGGTTGGTTACTCAGCCCTTCTGTGGCTCAATTATTACTTCCATAATTATTGGAAGAGTAAGAAGGACAATGCACGCTCAAAATCCTAACAGAGTATGTGCACAGGATGGGCATGTAATAAGTGTTAGTTTCCCCTTTCTGTGACAGAAGTGAAACTAAAACAATAAATCAAAATGGTAAAGTACCCAGGGATATAAGAGAGAACAAGAAAGTTTATTGCAACTTCTAAAACTGAAAGTTGCTCTGAAACAAATGCCCTACCTTCCTTTCTAATGACCTCTTTGTCCTTGTTTATTTCAGCAGAAGCTAGATAATCAACTAGCAAGAAGGTAAAAGAGAGGAACTCTTAGATCTGGTGTAGGTGAGGCTGGAGTACCCTTAAAGTCTCTTCCAGCTCCAAGATTCAGTGAGTTCAGATAAAGGAGAAAATAAAATCTTTAATTCCCATTCTAATCCATGATTTATCTGAGGCCAATGAATGTGAGCAATACATTATTTCAAAAAATAGAAGGACAAACTTGACTGTATTTCCTCCAGAACACAGGAGAAAATGGGTTAACAAGGCACAATGTTCTATTCCCTTAAGTGGGTCCCTAGGACATAACGCATTGAATCAGCTGTTCCTCATGATTCAACTGAGGAACAACTCAGTTGAATTTTTGTTCATCACAAAATTCTACTTGAGTAGAAAACAGGGGCTCAAGGAGGCAGTGGGAAAAAGGGGGATAATGTGTCTAATTGGTGAAAACATTAGAAATAATAAAAGTAATGATAAATTAAGGACCCCAACAAAGAGAAAAACTACTAAGACCTTGGGTGTTACTTTTATGCAGGAGTTTATTGGATTTTTTTCTAAAGAACTGATGTGGTTAAGAAAGGGTGGACAGAGCATTTGAGCTCTAGACTTCCAGATTGGAAAGCACGTAGAAGGAAAAAGACTGGTGAACCAGAGATGAGAGGTCCGTCTTCCGAACTTTTAGGCTAAACTTTGGCCTAAGCCAAAGCCTAAAATTTGAATAGATTTCTATTTCCTCATATTCAAAAAAACTTAGCCACGTTTTTCCAGGGATTAATAAACCACTAAATCAAGAAATACCAGAGAGTAAAGCGGTTGCATGCAAACCGGACTTCCAAAATGATACCTGTTTTGAAATGATGCTTTTTACTGCTGCGTTATTGTGGTTACGAGTGCAGTCTGATCTTCACTTCCACAGGAGTCCCACAGGGAACACGGTGAGGAGGGGGCAGTGCGGGAAGAGATCAACTAAGAAGTTTTCCAGATTGAAACCTAGGTGGCTTTAATACAAACCACATTGTAGCCATCAAGAAATGATCCTGTCATTTAAAGCTATAATGATATCCCTGCCAGGGAAGATAGCCTATCAGAAAGAAAATGAGAATTCAGGTGTGTCTGGTCAACAACAACCACAAAATGTTTATTAAAATATAAAATGCATTATGTATATTTAAGATGTACAACATGATGTTACAAGATACATATATAAAGCAAAGTGATTACTATAGTGGAACAAATTAATATATCCATTATCTCACAAAGTTACAAAGTTGTCTTATAATAACAAAGTCCAAAATCCATTCCCCCACCCCTGTGGCAAGTGTAGCTAAAATCTACTCATTTAGCAAAATCCTGAATACAATACACTAATATGAACAATTGTCTTCATGTTGTACATTAGATCTTATGACTTGTTCAACCTACATATTTGCTATTTTGTATTTTTTGACCTAAATCTTTCCATTTCCTAAAAAAATAGTCTTAAAAGGAAGCTTATCTTGAGGGAGTTACATCTTTGGTGTCCAAAGGGCCTGGAAAGCACACAAACACATTTACACACACACACGTAGACACACATGCGCACACACATGTACACACACGCACGTACACACTTGTACTTAACCTGTCACAAGGCTAAAATTTCACAGGTAAAAAACATTCTTTTGCATTTTGAAACCACTTTAATTTTTAGGATTAACAATGGAGTGCAACATCCAGCATAATACCTGAACAGTTTATAATAGTTCATATTTCTGTACCATTTTATAATCTGTAAACTACTTTTTTCTTCCTTATTTTATTTATTTATTTTCCTTATTTTATTTAGTTTTTTTTTTAATTGTACTTTAGGTTATGGGGTACCTGTGCAGATCATGTAGGATCGTTGCACATGAATGGCAATGTGGTTTGTTTCCTCCCTCCCCCCGTCACCTATATCTGGCATTTCACCCCGTCTTATCCCTCCCCAACCTCCCCATCCACCTGCTGTGCGTCCCCTGGCCCCCACAACAGACCCCAGTGTGTGCTGCTCCCCTCTGTGTCCATGTGTTTTTATTGTTAAACATCCACCTATAAATGAGAACATGCAGTGTTTGATTTTCTGTTCTTGTGTCAGTTTGCTGAGAATGAGGGTTTCCAGGTTCATTCATGTGCATACAAAGGACACAAACTCATCATTTTTTATGCCTGCATAGTATTCCATGGGGCATATGTGCCACATTTTCCTTGTCCAGTCTATCATCAATGGGCATTTGGGTTGGTTCCAGGTCTTTTCTATTGTAAGCCGTGCTGCAATGAACATTCGTGTGCATGTGTCTTTATAACAGAACCATTTACAATCCTTTGGATATATACCCCGTGATGGGATTGCTGGGTCAAATGGAATTTCTATTTCTAGGTCCTTGAGGAATCGCCACACTGTCTTCCACAGTGGGTGAACTAATTTACACTCCCACCAGCAGTGTAAAAGTGTTCCTATTTCTTCACATCCTCTCCAGCATCTGTTGATTCCAGATTTTTTAATGATCACCATTCTAACTGGCATGAGATGGTATCTCAATGTAGTTTTGATTTGCATTTCTCTAATAACCAGTGATAGCATTATTTCATATGATTGTTGGCCTCATATATGTCTTCCTTTGAAAAGTGTCTGTTCATATCCTTTGCCCACTTTTGGATGGGTTGTTTGTTTTTTTCTTGTAAATCTGTTTTAGTTCATTGTAGATTCTAGATATTAGCCCTTTGTCAGATGGGTAGATTGCAAAAAATTTTTCCCATTCTGTTGGCTGCCAGTTCACTCTAATGATTGTTTCTTTTGCTGTAGAGAAACTCTGGAGTTTAATTAGGTCCCATTTGTCTATTTTGGCTTTTATTTACCAATGCTTTTGGTGTTTTAGTCATGAAGTCCTTGCCTATGCCTATGTCCTGAATGGTTTTTGCCTAGGTTTTCTTCTAGGGTTTTTATGGTGTTAGGTCTTATGTTTAAGTCTTTAATCCATCTGGAGTTAATTTTGGTGTAAGGTGTCAGGAAGGGGTTTAGTTTCTGCTTTCTGCTCATGGCTAGCCAGTTTTCCCAACACCATTTATTAAATATGGAATCTTTTCCCCGTTGCTTGTTTTTGTCAGGTTTGTCAAAGATCAAATGGTTGTAGATGTGTGGTGTTACCTCCAAGGCCTCTGTTCTTTTCCATTGGTCTATATCTCTGTTTTGGTACCAATACCATTCTGTTTTGATTACTGTAGCCTTGTAGTATAGTTTGAAGTCAGGTAGCATAATGCCTCCAACTTTGTTCTTTTTGCTTAGGATTGTCTTGGCTTTGTGGGCTCTTTTTTGGTTCCACATGAAGTTTAAGGTGGTTTTTTTCCAGTTCTGTGAAGAAGGCCATTGGTGGCTTGATGGGGATAGTGTTGAATCTATAAATTACTTTGGGCAGTATGGCCATTTTCATGCTATTGAGTCTTCCTAACCATGAGTATGTAATGTTTCTCCATCTGTTTGTGTCTTCTCTTATTTCCTTGAGCAGTGGTTTGTAGTTCTCCTTGAAGAGGTCCTTTAGATCCTTTGTTAGTTGTATTCCTAGGTATTTTGTTCTCTTTGTAGCAATTGTGAATGGGAGTTGCTCATGATTTGGCTCTCTGTTAGTCTGTTATTGGTGTATAGAAATGCTTGTGATTTCTGCACATTGATTTTGTAGCCTGAGACTTTGCTGAAGTTGCTTATCAGTTTCAGGAGATTTGGGGCTGAAATGATAGGGTCTTCTAAATACACAATCATGTCATCTGCAAATAGAGACAATTTGACTTCCTCCTTTCCTAATTGAATACCTTTTTTTTTTCTTGCCTGATTGCTCTGGCTAGAACTTCCAATACTATATTGAATAGGAGTGGTGAGAGAGGGCATCCTTGCCTAGTGCCAGATTTCAAAGGGAATGCTTCCAGTTTTTGCCCGTTCAATATGATATTGGCTGTAGATTTGTCATAAATATCTTTATTTTGAGATATGCTCCTTCGATATCTAGTTTATTGAGAGTTTTTAGCATAAAGGGCTGTTGAATTTTGTCAAAGACCTCTCTTCATCTATTGAGATAATCATGTGGTTTTTGTCTTTTGTTCTGTTTATGTGGTGGATTACATTTATAGACTTGCATATGTTGAACCAGCCTAGGATCCCTGGGATGAAGCCTACTTGATCATGATGGATAAGCTTCTTGATGTGCTGTTGTAATCAGTTTGCCAGTATTTTATTGAAGATTTTCGCGTCTATATTCATCATGGATATTGGCTTGAAGTTTTCCTTTTTTTGTTGAGACTCTGCCGGGTACCACTTTATAATCTGTAAATTACTTTTGCATGTACATATTGTTTCATCCAATTCTCATGTTGGCTTTGCTATGTATGTATTATTACTCACATTTCACAGAGAAAGTAATGTAGACTCAGAGGTTAAGTCCTTTACTGAAGAATGCTGCTTACTAAGTGATAGAGCAAGGATTTAAGCCCAGGTCTGTTATGTCTCCAAAGCCCATCCTCAGCCACACTGGTGGATTACAAACCCAATCTGGATCCCAGAAATGTATACATTCCAAAGCCTTCTTCATATTCTTATAACAAAGTCCAGAGCCCATGACTATATCATCCTACAGACAGGGAGTAAATACTGATAATGGCCTAAAAATGATCACTTAATGTAGCTGAGTTGTTGCTTAAAATCACTTTGTCACTATGTGGTTATTTTCATATCTGGCTTCTTAAGTCTCATTTTCTGTCCTATATTTTGCTTGAGTAATATTACTGTTCTGTTCAGTAAATCTGTTAATTTTAATTTTTTATAAGTGAATTACCCATACCAACACTGACATCTCAGTTTAGCTTTATCCAGCCACCTATCCATATTATCTATCATGTTCTCCAAAGCTGACTGCACCAGGCAACCCAATGAGAATGCAGAAAAGAAATTTTGAATTTATATTTTTATTTTAATTACAAGACAACTTTTTCAAAACTTCATCAACTTTTACGATGTTGATGGATGGTAGTTTACACACAGTTTATAAGTGAATATGAGTAAAAAAGTCACATATAGAAGAGGATACTCAATAACTATATTGTTTGGGTGTCTGATCAAAAAAGAAGTAGAAATCACTGTTCTAGTCTATACCCCCTTCCCTATAACCAGGAATTTGTGCCTGCTCTCCTGGGGAGGGATTGGGAGGAATAATTCCTTTTGAATACGTAATTTGTGCTCTAATCCTCACAGGATGGCAGAAAATGACCTCAGAAGCCAGAAATATCTCCCACACCATGAGTGACTTCATCCTCTTGGGCTTCTCTTACCCCTGGGAAATACAGATTTTCCTCTTTTTCACATTCTTTGTGACTTACATCCTTACTCTCCTTGGAAACCTGGCCATCATGTGTGCAGTGTGCTGGGACCATCGGCTCCACACCCCCATGTACATTCTGCTGGCCAACTTCTCCTTCCTGGAGATATGCTATGTCAACTCTGATGTGCCCAACATGCTGGCTAACTTGCTCTCCAAAAACAAAACCATTTCGTTTGCTCGATGCCTCCTCCAGTTGTACTTCTTCTTCTCCCTGGGCACAACTGAATGCCTATTTCTCTCCATCATGGCCTATGACCGGTTCCTGGCAATCTGCCGCCCCCTACACTATCCTACTGTCATGACTACTAAGTTTTGTAGCAGCCTGATCATCTTTTGCTGGGTGTATGGTTTTATCTGGTTTCTGATCCCAGTTATATGCATCACCCAGCTGCCATTTTGTGGCCCAAATGTGATTGATGACTTTCTATGTGACCTCAGTCCCCTTCTGGCCCTGGCATCAGCCTGTGTCCCAATCCCAGGGACTGTTCTTGTATGTGGCACCATGAGTTCCCTCCTCATCTTTGCAACCTTTTTCTACATTATTGGCTCCTATACCCTGGTGCTGAGGGCTGTGATGCAGGTACCCTCTGTTGCTGGCCAGAAGAAGGCCCTCTCCACCTGCTCCTCACACCTGACTGTCGTGTTTTTATTTTATGGCTCAATCATGATGACATATGTGAGCCCAGGGTCAGGACAAGCAGAAAGCATGCAGAAGTTCACAACTCTATTCTACTCAGTTTTGACCCCTTTGTTCAACCCCATGATCTACGGCCTCCGAAATAAAGAAATGAAGGATGCCTTGAAGAAAGTTCTAGGAGGCTCCTAAAACTGGTCTGTGATGTTATCAGTGAAGCCTTTCCCCTGGCAAAATTAATTGCCTCTTCCATAGCACATTACTTGCATCTATTTAATATGTATTTTATTCTTTCTTGTAATATACTTAGCTATTTACAAATGTGTCTTCACATATCTCCCATCCTTATTAGATTTTAAGTTCATTGAGAGTAGGAACTAGGCTTTATTAATTTCTGTAATCCCAGAACCCAACACAGTACCTAGCATATATGTTGATAATATCAATTTAAATAAAACAAATATATTTCTTCATATTTCCTCATTAGTTTCTGTCATTTTTCATGGTCAGGACAATATCTAAAGAAGCCATACAAACTCTGTAACAATCTATATTTTATATGTCTTATACATGAAATGAAAAGAACTTTCATATAAGAAAGTGAGGTCAACCTTGACTGGTAGGATGAGCCATTAACTGATAATCAAATCAATGGAAAAATTTAACCAGATGAAAGTGAATGTCCAAGAAATCATCTCCCTCCTTCTCTTCATCAATCCCTTTGTCTGATGTAAATTGTATAATTTTATCTTCTTCTTACTAACCATGCTTCCACTCCTGTATATTTTTAAATATATCCCACAATCCTTGCTACTGAAAGTGTGGTCTTTGATCATCAGCTAGGCGTCACTGGAGAGCTTTCTAGAAGGCAGGATCTAAGGACTCTGTCCTAGTTCTATTGAATCAGAATCTGTGTTTTGAGGACATCCCCAGTGGATTTATTGCACATTAAAATTTAAGAAGCATTTATCTCTAAGATATTCTCTGAAAGAGTCACAGTAATAACAACCACATGTAGGACTTCCCATTGACACCTACCTTCATTTAAACAGTAGTTCTCAACCTACTGATCAGAATTAGGGTTGGAGCCAAAGTAAAAGTATTTTGAAAAGTTCCCTCAGGAGATTGTAACAAACAGAGGGTTAAGAATCACTGCACTGGAATTTAGAAATTCCCACACTCTACAATAACACAGGATAAGACCATATCTACATTTCTTTTCTTTTCAAAAGCCTCCCTGGTACACATCAACCACATTCGATCTCAATAATGTTCCTGGATCAAACTGAGGGTCAGGCCGCTATTCTTCACAGCCCAATAACAAGATGCAGATGAACCGGGGAGGAAGACAGTTTTTATTTACATAACTGGTTGCAAGGAGATGGTCTGGAAATTATCACCAGACCAACTCAAAATTACAAAGCTTTTCAAAGAGAATATACCTTCTAAGCTATATGTCTACAGGTAAGTGTGCATTCATCTAAAGACATAAGTGATTAACTTCTTTTAATCTATAACTAAGGTCTGAGTCCTGAAGACCTTCTTCTAGAGCCTCAGCAAGTTCACTTAATCTAAATGGGTCCAGGTGCTGAGATGATTACCCTTTGTCTCCTGCTAAATCACTGGGATTTGAGGAGTTCCTTCAGACGTCCAATAAACTTGTTTGTGGAGGCCTGGAGAGTTTCTTCAGACCCCCCAATAAAACTTGTTTAATCCTAAGTAGGTCCTGTTAAGAATTCCTTCATTATTTTGTCAGGCCCAGGAAAGGCCTAGCCAAAACTCTTGATGGGTTTTTGTTACATTCCAGCCTTTGTATAAGGGCACAGGCTTTTTTACCTCTAATATTTAACTTTACCACTCAGTTAGTACTGAAACAGTTGTGATAGAGACCTGCATTAGTGAAACCTGTCTTGCCACAATAAGACATATTATAACCCAACTATAGTATTCATCACTTTGCTAAAAAATGTTGTGTCCAAAATCGGTGTCTCTTTTGAATTTATTTTACATGCTTGTATTTGGAAGATTACACATAGTAAAAAGAATTGAGAACATAAAGAAAAGTGTGTACAGCAACTTATGCAATCATTTTTAAAATATTTCTGAGAAAAACTATCCCAGCATTGTACTAGCTTTTGGATTAACCCAGGTTATCAAAATTTCCTTCCTTCCCTCATGGAGATCACAACTCTGTAATGGAAATAAACTTAATTAACCCTTCTTGTTCTGTAACAGTTTGATTGAAATATAGTTCATATACCATACACTTCTTTTTAAAGTATACAATTCATTGTTTCTAGTTCATTCACATAGGTGTGCAACTACTACCACAATAAACTAGAAAAATTTCACCACCCACTCCCCCACCAAAAAAAAAAAAATTCCAAACCTTTTAGCAGTCACTCCCAGAAACCACTAATCTACTTCCTGTCTCTATGGATCACCTATTCTGGGTATCCCTCTAATACCAAAACCAAGAAAGAACATAACAAAAAAAGAGAACTGCAGGCCAACATTCCTGATGAACATAGATGCAAAAATCCTTACCAAAATACTAGCTAACCGAATCCAACAGCATATCAAAAAGATATTCCACTACAGTCAAGTGGATTTCATACCAGGGAGGAAGGGATAATTGAACATATGCAAGTAAATAAATGTGATACACCACATAAACAGAATTAAAAACAAAAATCACACGATCATCTCAATAGACTCAGAAAAAGCATTCAAGAAAATCCAGCATCCCCTCATGATCAAAACTCTTAGCAAAATCAGCATACAAGGAACATACCTCAATGTAATAAAAGCCAGTTATGACAAACCCACAGCCAACATAATACTGAATGGGGAAAAGTTGAAAGCATTCCCTCTGAGAACTGGGACAAGACAAGGATGCCCATTGTCACCACTTCTATTCAACATAATATTGGAAGTTGGAGCAATCAGACAAGAGAAAGAAATAAAGAGCATCCAAATCAGTAAAGAGGAAGTCAAGCAATCTGCTGGTGATACAATTGGATACCTGGAAAACCCTAAAGACTCCTTCAAAAAGCTCCTAGAACTGATAAATGAATTCATCAGAGTTTCAGGATACAAAATCAATGTACACAAATCAGTAGCCCTGCTATACCACAACAGTGACGAAGCTGATAATCAAATCAAGAACTCAATTCCTTTTACAATAGCTGCACACACACACACACACACACACACACACACACAGGCACACACACACAAAAATACTTAGGAATATACCTAACCAAGGAGGCAGTAAACAAAGGAGTGTTCCTGTATAAGAAAAAGTACAGAAAACTACTGAAGGAAATCATAGACAACATAAACAAATGGAAAAACATCTCACGATCATGAATGGGTAGAATCAATATTATGAAAATTACCATACTGCCAAAAGCATTCTACAAAGTCAATATACCACCCATCAAAATACCACCTTCATTCTTCACAGAACTAGATAAAACAATCATAAAATTTATATGAAACCAAAAAAGAGCCTGCATAGTCAAAGCAAGTCTAAGCAAAAAGAACAAATCTGGAGGCATCACATTATGTGATTTCAAACTACACTTTAAGGCCATAGTCACCAAAACAGCATGGTACTGGTATAAAAATAGGCACATAGACCAATGGGACAGAATAGAGAACCCAGAAATAAATCCAAATATTTACAGCCAGCCGATCTTTGACAAAGCAAACGAAAACATAAAGTGTTGACACCCTATTCAACAAATGGTGCTGGGATAATTTGCTAGCCACCTGTAGGAGAATGAAACTGGATCCTCATCTCTCACCTTACAAAAAAATCAACTCAAGATGAATCAAACACTTAAACCTAAGACCAAAAAACCATAAATAGTCTAGAAAATAACATCAGAAAAGCCCTTGTAGACATTGGCTTAGGCGAGGATTTCATGACCAGGAACCCAAAAGCAAATGCAATACAAAGATAAATACATGGGACTTAATTAAACTAAAGAGCTTTTGCACAGCAAAAGGAACAATCAGCAGAGTAAAGAGACAACCCACAGAGTGAAAGAAAATATGCACAATCTGTACATTCAACAAAGTACTAATATCCAGAATCTAATACAAACTCAAACAAATCAGCAAGAAAAAACAATCCCATCAAAAAGTGGGCTAAGGCCATGAACAGATAATTTTCAAAAGAAGATACAAATGGCCAACAAACATATAGAAAATGCTCAACATCATTAATGATCAGGGAAATGCAAATCAAAACCACAATGCAATACCACCTGACTCCTGCAAGAAATGTCATAATCAAAAAATCAAAAAATAACAGATGTTAGCATGGATGCAGTAAAAAGGTAACACTTCTACACTGCTGGTGGGAATGTAAACTAGTACAACCACACAGAAAACAGTGTGGTGATTCCTTAAAGAACTAAAAGTGGAACTACATTTAATCCAGTAATCCCACTACTGGGTATCTATCCAAAAGATCCTTGCATCTGCATGTTTATAGCAGCACAATTAGCAATTGCAAAAATGTGGAACCAGCCCAAATGCCCATCAATCAATGAGTGGATAAAGAAACTGTGCGAGATATATATATGTGATGGAATACTACTCAGCCATAAAAAAGGAATTAATTAATGACATTTACAGTAACCTAGATGAGATTAGACACTATCATTCTAAGTGAAGTAAGTCAGGAATAGAAAACCAAACATCGTATGTTCTCACTCATACGTGGGAGCTAAGCTATACAAAGGCATAAGAATGATACAATGGACTTTGGGGACTCCTAGGGAAAGAGTGGGAAGGGGGTGAGGGATAAAATACTACAAATTGGGTGCCATGTATACTGCTCGGGTGATGGGTGCACCAAAATCTCACCAATCATCACTAAAGAACTTACTCATGTAACCAAATCACTACCTGTTCCCCCAAAAACCTATGGAAATAGAAATTTTTTAATAAAAATAAAGAAAGATAGATATTCTCAGATCAATCTCCAAAATGGAAAAAGAATATAAAAAGAACATAAATCAGACAAAGTAATACAGATACCCCTGGACACTATTAAACTGATCAACCTCCTCATCTACTTTTCCAGGTCACGTTCCCCACAGGGCTTGACCCTACCACTGCAAGACATTTATATCATAATGGGGCTTGCAATGTACTGAATGTTCATGTTCCTCTAAAAGTCATACACTGAAATTCTCACCCCCAAAGTGATAGTATTAGGAGGTGGAGTATTTGGGAGGTGACTAAGTCATGAGGACAGCCCCTTCAGGAATGGCATTAGTGCCCTCATAAAAGAAACCCAAGAAACCCCTTGCCCTTCCACCAAGTGTGCAAGAACACAGCAAGATGGCAGCATTTATGAACCAGGAGGCAGGCCCTCCCCAGAGTGAATTTGTTGGCACCTTGATCTTAGACTTTCTAGCCCCGAGAACTGGGAAATCAATTTCTGTTGTTACAAGC